ACCACCAGAACAGCGCCTTAAAGGCAACCACAAAATTCCAATGATTCAGTGACCAGCCTCCTTCCTGTTTGTGCCTCTGTTGTTTGCTATCATTTCTTCCAAGTTTTGTTTCAATGCTAAGCTATTTCATACCTTAGCTAGTTCTGCTTAAAGTGATCATCTCTTTCAAAGGCAGCAGAAGAAACAAAAGAGACAAAGGGGGAAAAAATAAAACAACCGGCCTTTACACGAGCCCACATTTACTCTAAGCCAAAGTCCAGAAAAGTAACTCTCAGACAACTAAATTAACATCCTTGGCTCCATTCCTCTCATCCTTTTACACATGTGCACGGCATGTCACACACAAGTATAATGCCGAAGGAGCAGAACAACTGCCCAAGCTGGTCCTGTGGGTGATTCCCATGGCTGCAGGGACCCAGGGCAAGTTCACACTGGGTTCATGTGAGCATGGGTAGTAAGAAGTTGTTTGTCATGACAGAAATGTCTGCTCTCCCAACTGTAGCTGTAGCTTGCCCTGTTGAGCAGGTCAAAATATTCTTGGAAATGCAATTCAGACCCCTTTTAAACTTCACACCTCACTAACATTCCCTCCAGTATCTCCCCTGCATACATGTGTGTGCATGTCAGTGAGGTACCACTCAGAGCTCAGACCTGCAATGGTCTTTCCTTCTTATTCAGAGTTCCCTGTGACTACTCTGGACATAGTCCTGAGGCTCTGGGCCCCTCTCTTGGATATGCGCAAACCTGCCCACCTTTTCTTTTTCCACGACGCTGCCCTTCCTGGTCCCTCAGGACTCCTACTTCAGCCTCTTCTCCCCTCTCAGTACACTGATATTTCCTTGGCTCTTCTTAGTTTCTCTTAACTCTGAACCTGTCCCTTCTACCAGTGCAATGAAGCCAGATACCCAGCCTTCCCTTCTCATGTACCTAGGGACCCACCCAGCCTGCACCTATGCCCTCACTTACAGGTACATCTGAGGTCATCTTCCAGCCACATTCTCAGGGAGGTTTAGCTTTGTTTTTAAGGCACTGAAGGAGCACATGCATTTACATTTTCCTCCAACACTGAACACAAACATTCAATTAACCTCAAACTAATTCATTATAAACATCAGAGCCAAATGCTCCAGCTCCAGCTCCCTTTTATCTCTCCCTGTTCTTTCCCATAGCCAGCCCCCCAATAACTCTTCTGTCTGTTAGTGCTGTCCTCTACTTCTATCCATACGATTAGAGGCCAAGCTCAACTTGATGACACAAGATAAATAAATTTTTTTTTTGAGAGAGAGAGAGAGAGATTTTTGCCATAGGGCACATATGCTCACTGGAGAGACAGAGAGACAGAAATCACTCCCTGGGAGATGGATATGCCACAATCCCTTCTCTTCCATTCTCCCTTCATTTTGGGCATGCACGCACACACACACACCAGGCATGAGTTTTAAGCTGCTGGATCTGGGACTTGAACCTTGGTCGATATAACCATTACGCCATTTGCTGATGCCAACACAAGATATGTTACTTTAATGGCTCAGGTGCAAGCATTTATTTTCTTGGTTCTAGACAGATGATAGCTCTCTAACACTGACTCAGGACCCAGGCTCCATCATTCCCTGGTTGTCACTATCCTTTGGTAGAAGGGTACAGGCATAGGAGGAGTAACATGCAGAGTTTTTAATATTGGCCCAGAAAGGCACATCTCCCTAAGAAGGGCTAGGACTCGCCATGGCCACCTCTCAATGTAGAAAGGATGGACAATGTGGTCTGGCCGTAAGGAGGAACCTGAAGCAGAGATCAATGACAATCTCTCAGGACACCCAGAGCACTCACCACTACCCACTCGTGACCCTATCAAATAGTTTCCTCCAGTGCAGGACAAATGCCTGGAGCTTGATGTGTGCAGTTGAGCCTTATGAAAAGAAAAGTGGTTTCAAGTTGGGAGTGAGGAGGCAGGGACAGATTTCCTCCATAACATCTTTAAAGTGTGAAATATGATGAAAAGATGCTGAGAATCAGCTAGTCTGACAAACTCTTCTTCTACTTAGAGACTCAAGAGACAAGGCATCAGGGTGGATTTGCACAGTCAGATAACAGGCCATCGGCCAAGGCAAGAATATGCACCTGCAGGCTGTGAGTGTCTTCCTAGGGCTGCCCAACCTGGCAGAGTGTGAAGCCAGAGGTCATCCCACATGTATTCATATTTAAAGGATTCCACTCAAAGAAGAATAGCAATCAAAGTTCAGCTGTGCCCTGCCGGACCATAGAGGATAAGCTGGCAGTGAGCAGGAACACCACCTCCACAAACTCTCACTCCCATAGTCTGCATACTCCATTCTGCCTCCAGCTTTTCTCAATCTCAGCTGCCCACTGTTGTTCTTGTTGTTTGGTTTTCTGCTTGTTTTTTTGGTTTTGTTTTGGTTTTGTTTTTAGTTTGCTATAGGATGTGTGCACTTGCCAGAAAGAGAGACCAAAAGTCAGAAATTATTACTCAGTGGGGAATGGCCATTCTGCAATCCCTTCTCTTCCATTCTTCTCTTGGGACTTTGGGCATGCATACATAAGCACCCAGTGTGATTTTTCAAGCCACTGGGTCTGGGATTCAAACTGCATAATCAGCCATGTGGAATCCAGTCGCCTAGTCCTCCATGCCAGCAGCTACCTGTTTTTGACCCTTAAACAGGAGGCTAAGAATAGAAAGAAGCAAATTTTCTTATTTACAAATGAAAGACTATCGACAGGGATGATCTAGAAGTCAAAGCCGTCAAAGCAAATTGCAGGCTCTGCAGGCTAGATGTGTCGCTTCCTCGTGTTGAAACATAGAGATCTATGGGATTGATTATCAAGGCAACTAACCAACCATGAGCAAGGTTCTTAAGTTAGTACCACTCCAGTCCCATCCCCAGTTATTTTCTTATTCAAATAAATGTTTTCTCAACAGATCGCATTTCTCCTTTAACCTATGGGAAAACATAGTTAATATAAAGGAAATGCACAGCAGAATCAAAAGTACACAGAATGAAAGCCTTGGGGGGGATCTGCTTATAGAACTTTTAGGAGGCTTTCAAATTCTTGGCTGAATAAGTAATTTTATATGGTGTTGTATACAAGTTTAATAGCAGAATCAGTTCCAAAATTCCCTCTGCACTCAGATTCTAGGAGCGCCTTCCTGATGCATGTTAACTAATGATTGTGCCAATGCATTAATCATGAAGGCTATCAGAAAGAAAATAACCACAAGCAAAAACTACAGATGTTAAATGTTGAGGCAGGAATTGAATCAAGTGTGTAAACAGAGAGAAAGAGAAAAATAACCTTTTTCCACACTTTTTTTTTAAGCCTGGCATTAAATCAATGATTAAGTACAATGCATACATACTTACCAACAAAAAAAAAAACAATTTTTTTCAAATCCTTAAATTTGACCAATAATTTAAAGAACTTAGACCCAGCTGTGGTAGTGCATGCTACTAAGACTCTCTGCTCTGCAGACTGAGACCACGTGGGAGGCATGGGTTTGATTCTCAGTCCAACCTAAAGCCCTGGTATGTGCTCTTATGATCCCAGTGACACGGGAGGTTGAGGTAGGAGAGCACAAACTCCAGACTGGTCTGAAGTTTATGGCAACATCATGCACCTGTAGCCCCAGCAGGAAGACTGTGGCAGGAGAATCATGACACTGTGAGACCTTGACATTTTTTAAAATTTGGTTAAAAAATGTAAAAATAAAGTGCTTTCTCAAATTCTTACCCTAAAGGTAAGGAGAGTAACAGAACAATTACTTACAAAGAGATATTTATTATATGTGTGTTTCACACAGGCATATATACAGAAGTGGTTTCATTTAACCTTGTAACAATCCTATCAATTGGGTACGTAATTATCACTTTGTAAATGAGGAAACTCATGAGCAACACAACACATTTGAATAGTGTATTAGTCAGTTCAGACTGCCATAACAACATGGACTGGTAGCTTAAACGATTTTCATTTTCTCACAGTTCTGTTCTGGAGACTGAAAGTTCAAGACTGAGGTGTCAGCAAGGCTGACTCCTGGTGAGGCCTCTCTCCTTGGCTTGCAATGATCACCTTCTCACTGTCTTCACTTGGCTTTTCTCTGTTCACATGCACTGCTGGTCTTTCTTCTAATCTTATAAGGACACTAGCCCTTTTTTATTAGGGCCTCATTTATCCCTTATTTAACCTTCAGTTGTCTCTGTGAAGGCCCTATCTCCAAATAAAGTCACATTAGGGCTTGAAATTTCAACATACAGATTTTTGGAGGGACACAAGTCAATTTGTAACAGAAAGCAAATCTAAGAGTACACCATTACTAAGTAGCAGAGCCAAGATGGTCTGAGTCAAAGACATTGCCTTTGTTCAGGACTCAGTCCCTTTCCCATGCCATAACACCTCAGAGAGAGTGGGTAGACATCTAACTATAAAAGCTAGCCCAGTGCAGGACCAGCAAATGGCATAATGGTTACATCTCTGGACTCCTACATAGTCAACTATGGTTCAAGCCCCAGACCTGGCAGCTTAAAACTTATGCAGGGTGCTTGTGCATGTGTGCCCAAAAATCTCGAGAACAGAATGGAAGAGAAGGGGTTGCAACATGGCCATCCCCCCCAGGAGGTGATTTCTCACTTTCTGTCTCTCTGGTGAGCACACACACACCCTATAGCAAACATCTCTCTCTAAAAATAAAAATAAAAAAGGCTAACTCTGTGGAACTTGTTGACAGCAGACAATTTTGTAGCAGTAACTTCTGTCCTGGTGGGAAGAGTGGTGAACTAAAGCTATACTGCAGAGCACAGAAGATCAAGTCAACTGACGGCTTATCTAGATGGCACCAAATAAAAATGGCCTTGTCTGCTTTGTTTATAGATACACAGATGATAATTTGGTTTCACTATCATACATATACAAACTGTACAGTTAGTTCCATTATCCTCAAAAAGTCTGCATTTCATTTGATTTTTCTTTTCTTTTCTCCAAACCATCAGCTAATGTCCTGGAGGGTGATTCCATGGATCAAGATGTTGAGAGCCCTGTGGCCATTCATCAGCCAAAGTTGCCTAAGCAGGCCAGGGACGACCTGCCAAGACACATCAGCCGAGATCGGACCAAAAGAAAAATCCAAAGGTACGTGAGGAAAGACGGAAAATGCAACGTGCACCACGGCAACGTGAGGGAGACCTACCGCTACCTAACTGACATCTTCACCACTTTAGTAGACCTAAAGTGGAGATTCAACCTGTTGATTTTCGTCATGGTTTACACAGTGACATGGCTCTTTTTTGGAATGATCTGGTGGCTCATTGCATATATCCGAGGAGATATGGACCATATAGAGGATCCCTCATGGACTCCCTGTGTCACCAACCTCAATGGGTTTGTCTCTGCTTTTTTATTCTCAATAGAGACAGAAACCACCATTGGCTATGGCTACCGGGTCATCACAGATAAGTGCCCAGAGGGGATTATTCTTCTCTTAATCCAATCTGTACTGGGGTCCATTGTCAATGCATTCATGGTGGGATGCATGTTTGTAAAAATATCTCAGCCCAAGAAGAGGGCAGAGACCCTGGTCTTTTCCACCCATGCAGTGATCTCCATGCGGGATGGGAAACTGTGCCTGATGTTCCGAGTGGGGGACCTTAGGAACTCCCACATCGTAGAGGCTTCCATCAGAGCCAAGTTGATCAAATCCAAACAGACTTCGGAGGGGGAATTCATCCCCCTGAACCAGACGGATATCAACGTAGGATATTACACAGGGGATGACCGTTTGTTTCTGGTGTCACCACTGATCATTAGCCATGAAATTAACCAACAAAGTCCTTTCTGGGAGATCTCCAAAGCCCAGCTGCCTAAAGAGGAACTGGAAATTGTGGTCATCCTAGAAGGAATGGTGGAAGCCACAGGTAAGACACGTTCTATCCTAAGCTATCTGTGGGATAGATACTCATTTTAAACTGGACCTGATGTTCTTATTTACTACATGATATAGAAGACCTATCTTCCCTCACTCTTGGTAACATCCTTTTGCTTCATGAAGTAGGTCACCCACATATCCTACAACCTGAAGTATATTCACGAAGAAACCTAATAATTAGCTTTTTTAATGCCCTTTGGAAAATAAATTAATGAAGAATTAAGCAAAAACACTTAATGTATTTTAAATTTCCAAATATTTACATAAATTAAAATTTGATCTGCTATAAAGCTATTTTTTTTAAGTTTTTGCCATAAGGCACTATGCACTAACTGGAGAGAGACAATGAGAGGGAAAGTAAAAAATCACCCCCTAGGGGGAATGGCCATGCCACATTCCCTTCTCTACCTGGAATTTTGGGCATGCACACACATGCCCAGTGTGATTTCCAAGCCACCAGGTTTGGAACTATAACCATGGTCAGCCAGAGTCCAGCACCTTAGCCATCATGTCAACTGTTGGCCCCATCTAAAATTATTTTTAAATGCCTTTAAAGCATTGCTTATTAAAATACTTGAGGTTATTTTTTTACCAGGTTAAAAGGAAGAAGTTAAGCCTTTCAAAGGAAGCCTGACAAATTGAAACTTTATCCATTCTTTGGAAGCCATTTGCAAGATTCATTCCATTAGTTTTTCTTGGGTATCAAGTAACCACCTAGTGTCCCTCTACACTCTACCTGACCGACCTCCAATAGACACAATACTGCAGACTCAGTAAATAACTCTACCGAAAGGAAAAAATTTGAAGATCATTCATCATAATCCCGTTGACCCTTCTGCTCTTAATGGCTAATCATTAGTGTGTTTTAGGGACAATGATCTGCTCTCAAAATAAAGAAAGGGATCTGTTTTTATTGAAGTCTCCATGTTATATATGTGGACAAGTCTGGCCACATCTACCTGTAACATCCCACAAAATAATGCCATAAACTCTAATTCAAGCTAACAATAGAGCCTTGTAGGAAAAGTAGAAACTAGAACCTCAACCCATTAATTCCTTTGCTCTTCTGAATTATTCACATTAGCCTTGGGTTCCTCTTTTATTACATAATCTATCCTTTTGCACTTTTAAGTCTCTAGCTCTAGGCTCAGTGTTGCTGTATTTAATCTGAAGGCATGCTCACGTGGCTGACCTTGTGATTCTCCATTCATCTGAACACATCTCCTAATCTCAGTCTTCTTTTTCAAAAGAAAATCAGTGGCCCTATGTTTCTGCCTCTATCTAAGAGACAAAGTTTCTTTTTCTTTTCCTCTCTTTCTTTCTTTTTTTATTATTCTTTTATTTATTAATTATTATCATAATCTAGTTTATATTACAGTGAATCACATATAACTTTACAGTGTATTACATTTCTTTTTCCAGAAGGAATGCCATGCATATCAGTCAATACAGAGACAAAATCCCCACTTCATCATCCAATAGCTTTTCATTATTTTTCCTGATCATCATTATTGTTATTATTACAATTATTTTTTTAAATAGTCAATCCCTATTTCTCATTTTGCTTGTAAAAAGACTTTACCCAACACGAAATACTTCTCAGACTAATCCAGTTGAGAATACTGTATACATCATCATCAACAGGTAATAAACCGTATCTGTAAGAGGCAAGGTTTCAACCTATGGCAAATTTCTCTTGTGGTGGTATAAACTCTTACAACAGTTTGTTAGTTTCTTGTTTGTTTGTTTTTAGTTTTTGTTCATTTATTTGTTTTGATTTGCTATAGGGTACACGTGCTCACAGGAGAGAGATGGGGAAAGTGAGAAAGTGCCCTCCAGGGGGAAAACCACATTGCAATTCCTTGTCCTTCATTCTCCTCTCAGACTTTTGGACATGCACACCCATGTGCTCGGCCTGATTTTCAAGCCACCAGGCCCATGATTCAAACTGCAGTCAGTCATGTGAGATCCCGTCACCTTAACCACGGCACTACCAGCTGGCCCCCGCAATACAGCAGACAATGAAAATGGGAGTAAAAGGCCTTCTATAGAGTTCAGTGATATGAGTGAGTGTTCTCTTTTCCATAGAGCAAGAGAAAATAAACTAAATAAAAAAAAAATCTTAAAGAATAGCAAAATAACTATTGTGAATACCAAATAAATACTGCCGATATTAACAGGGCTATCTGTACCTCGAGCCTGAGTATTTTGGGGTGCCCTTGGGTGGCAATAGTTAAGTGGAGGAGAGAAAGGAGGAAGAGGAGGAAGAAGGGTAGAAGGAGGAGAGAAAGGAGTAGAGAGAGGGTCACACTTCATACAGAGTTCTGACATTTTCCCTTGTACCAGAAACTTCTCCAACCTCAGCTGAGCACAGAGACTCTGGATCCCCCTGGTGGTGGCTTCTGACAGCACAAACTGACCACTCACAATGTGCTTCTTATATTAGAGTCCCACTATAAATTCTCCAGTAGGATGAGAAGTAAGACTGAACAACCTTCTTATTATTGCATCTCTGAGCTCAAGAAGCAAAAGTCACTAGGGAGGTACCTCTGGCTACTGATGTTAATCTGAGCTTCCTACTGAAGGGACTGTGTATCCTCAAACTAATGCCTAATCTCAGCAAATCAGCGAATCCAGAATAAGTAAATTATCTTTGTGATGTCCCTGAGTCGGAGTTCTCCCTGGGGCAGACCCTGTCTTTCTGATGACAGCTTGTAATGAGTGAACCTTTCCAAAGGGAGAAACATCGTTTTCTTGGTAATTAACAATGGTGCTTGCCTCTGAGCATTCAGAGGCCTTTGTGTGGCTTTAGCAGAGAAAATTGTTTAACTGCCAGCAAAAAGAATAAAAACTCTCAGCCTGTCCCCGGGAAAAGCAACCACTACTAATTTTTGTTTGTTTGTTTGTTTTAATTTTCTAATATCTGGAAATTGGGAGAGGTGTGTTCTGGAAGCTGGACATGTCCTATCCTTTCTTATGGGAGCTGCATAATTCAGTACCTCCAGCACAAGGATCACTTAAGCTTCAGCCAGATACTTTTTATTTATGGGTGAAAAACAGAATTGGGATTTACTAAACATGCATTAAACAGACCATTGGGGGGAAATAAATGTTTCAATGTATCAAAGACACAGGGTGGAAGTGTGGACCAAATGTACACTTGAGAAAAAAACTCAAGGTCTAATGATTCATTGTAGCACTAGATTGGAAATTAGGAGCCATGAAAATTGACACAAAGCAGTAGAAGTTGCACTCATTATTTCAATCAAAAATGTCTTAGTTGACCTTAAACTACTGCATTCAGGGGCTTAAGACCTCTTTTAAAGATGAGTCCCACATGACAACCTTGACACATTTCCTTCTTTCCGTTGCGTGTTTTGTGGGCACACAATATTCCCCACAGTGTTTTCTGGGGGCTAACTCAGCAGTAGGCCAACGACCCAGGTCCTGCAGTCTGCTGCGAGCTCAGGCCCGGCTCAGGCTAGCCGGTTCTCTAAGCATGCGTTGTATTCCAATGTCAGCTGTACCTCAGAGTCAAGTTTTGTTTTCAAAAACTGGAAGTAAGCTCATTGTTAAGGTTTGGATTATGGTCCCCATGAAGTTTCATGCTTTGAAATTTAGTCTCAGGCGACAGTGATTGGACATCCCCAGAAATTCATGTGTTGAACTTGATTGTATTGATTTTTATCATCTATGTATTAAATTCCTTCATGGTGTTCCAGAGGAACGTCTTTGGGTGTGATAATGTCATTAGGTTGGGGACTCTATGATTGAGTTAAGGCATGTATATAAGCAGAGAGAAGGAGATCTAACTGAGAGAGAGACACAGACCACACTCTGCTCACCTAAAGGTTCTGCCTTCTGCCATTTGGTGATGCCTTTGGACTTTCCAGCCACCAGAATTGTAAGTTGTTAGATTATTTCTTTGTAATTCACCAGCCTCTAACAGGTATCTCTGTTAGCAACTCAATAATAGACTAAAAGACTGATTGAAAGCTGAAAGTAAGCCTGTCTGTCTTCAATGCTTTGAAGTGACCTCATAAAAGACAGACGCATAGCCATAAAGGACAGCTCCAAATTCTTTGTGGATGGCCTGGGCCTGAAGTCAGAGGAATGTTCGAAGACATCTCTCAAGAACCTTCCGGTCATATGATTCTATTTTTGAAAATGAATCAAACCCTGGAAAATTCTGACAACAGCAACCCAGACATCTAGGAGCTAGCCACATCTCATCTGCAAATATATTTTTAAAGGGGGTCGTTTCTGTTCATGACACATGCACAATTTTCGAGATAGTGATGTTTACAGAAGGTTTCATAGCTACGTAAACAAACATGCTCAGCAGCTGTGGCAAATGTGCATTAAAATAGTAAAGCATTCATATAGACTGTTATTTATAGAGGGCAAACGGGCCTCGAGGCTAGATGACAGCCACACAGAGCTGGGCCCGCTGCCAGCCAGCTCCTCACTATAGCCTTTCTGATTGATGAACTTCCATATTTACCCTCAACCATTATGCAACTATAACAGGCAGTCCTTCCCAACACCTCTGCAAAAATCAGATTCATTAGGATGAATCCCTATTAAGTCTTTTGGGATTTTTTTACACTTGTTATTATGGAAACTATAAAATTTGCACAATCATAAACTGAATAGTATCATTAACCCCAGTGCACTTGCCATTCCATACTGATAATCGTTAATTCATGGCCAAATTTTGTCATCTATCCCTACTCACCAACTGCCCCCAGTATCACACCACTTCATCTGCAAATATTTCAATATGTGTCTTTGAAAGATAACCCTTTTAAAAAACTAACTGTAATACTGTTATGACACCAAAAATAATTACCTATTATTTCTTTAAATCCAAAAGATACTGTTCAAACTTCCAGTTGGCTCATACACATCGCATTTTATTTCTTTCTTTTTTGTTTTTGTTTGTTTGCTTTTTTACAATCTATCTGTTTGAATCAAGATCCAAATAAA